GTGAGGGAGCTGGAAAGCCAAAGGCAATGTGATGCAAAGGCAACTTTCAACATTTTTTCAAGCAAAAGAGAATAAAGCTGGAATATACGATGGCTTATTCACTTCAAAGTAATGGTAAAGCTGAGAGATTAAACCGAACGCTGTTGAGCATGTAACGAAAAAAAATAGTTGACTCCGGAATACCCAAAGAGCTCTGGGGTGAAGCACTAAAAAGTTCTGTTTATGAATTGAATCGAACCCCCACTGCAGCTTTGCCTAGCGATTTAACATCAGCAAAAGTATTCCATGGACGCAATAATTTGTTAAAGCTTAAGATTTTTGGATGACGGGTGTGGTATACATTATTGCCAGATGGCAGTAAACTGGAACCGAAAGCAAACAGTGGAATGATGGTTGAAGAATGGTGAAAGAAAAATATTAAAATCGAGAGATGTAAGGTTTGATGAGTCTGATGTGATGAGGTATAAAACAAAATTGCAAGAAAATAAGACCAAAGAGTGTCAAAATAAGGAAGTAAGATCAAAATTATTGTATTTACCAGAAAATGAAGACCAGACAGAGGTGGAAAATATTGAAGAAAATATAGGAAAAAATGAGACGTAGAAAACCCAATCAATGTTGAAAGCTCAAGTAGTTCGAGTGACGAATTTGAAGATACTATACCGATGACAAAGGCTCAAACTAGATCAGGAAGAAAAATTTTGAGACCTAAAAGTTTGCAATATTACGAAATATATACTACTTATTGTTTGATGACATCTATCAGTGATGAATCAGCAAGATATGAAGAAGCCAGTATGATTACAGAATGGAAACAAGCTATAAATAAAGAATTAATTTCCCAAGAGAAGTTACAAACTTGGAAACCAGAAGGAAATCTACCAGAAGGACAAAATGCAGTGGCTACAAAGTGGATTTCCAAGGTTAAGGAAGATGGGACGAAAAAGGCAAGATTGTTGGCTAGAGGGTTTCAAATACCTAGAAATGGCGAGGAGTTTAGATATGCACTAGGTTTATTTGTAGGTTATCTACGATAAGATTTCTGATATCTATTGCAGCTAAAACAGATTGATGTGCCAACAGCATTTTTGAATGGAACCCTGGATAATGAATGTTTTCATAAAAATATCTGAAGGAGTAAACTGTAAGTCGAAATACCTTAAACTAAATAGAGCTTTGTATGGCTCAAGGAATGCCCCGAAATATTTGAATTTAAAATTTAATCAAGTCATGGATCAATTGCAATTTAAACGATCAGAATACGACTACTGTTTTTATGTTAAAAATAATGTATATTTAGTAGGTACTTTTCGTGGACAATGCAGTGATAACTGGGGAAGAGATTGAAATAAACAAGTTAATCAAAAGTCTGTACCATGAATTTCAAGTTGAAAATATTGAAAATGTGACATCATTTTTGGGCATGGAAATACAAAATAAAGAATATGATATAAAAATCAATCAAACTTAGATGATTACCCGATTGTTGAGAGAGTTTTATATGCAAAAATATCGTCCATCGTTTACGCCTATGGAAGTGAATTTTCAGATCGATTAAAAAGAACCAATTTAAGAAAATGTGCTATATCGAAGGCTTGTGTATAGTCTGATGTATTTTTCCATTGTCACAAGACTTGACATAGCCCACAGTGTATCATATTTGAGTAGGTATCTTGATAAGCCTACCTCACAAGCTTGGAAAGCTGGGAAGAGGATTCTTCGATATTTGAGCAAAACAAGAGACTTTGGTTTACATAACAAGAAAAGCAAGAATGAAACTGTGGGATTGCGTGATGCGGATTGGGCAGGTGATCGACATACCAGAAGAAGTGATATTAGTGGGTTTATTTGCTATCATTCTAGTACCCAATAGCTTGGCACTCTCGCAAGCAGAATAGTGTGACGTTGTCACCAATGGAAACGGAGTATATTTCTGCAGGTGCGGCAGCTCAAGAATTATTGAACATAAAAGGTATTTTCACTGAATTTGATGAGTTTGAATGTAAACCAGTGATTCTAAAAATCGATAAGAAGAAAATTCTAAGAGGGGTAAACACATCGAAATAAAATAAATTTTACCAAGGATATTTATTTGAAAAACGAAATTTCTATAAAATATGTTAGTTGTGTTGAAAATTATGCAGATTTGTTGCGCCTCTTATATTATTTAGTTTTCATTTTCACATGTGTTTTCAAGAGTCTCCCAGGCCATTTTGTAGGTTATATTAAGACAGATGTTATTCTTTTGACGATTCTCGAAAAATATTATTGCAACGTCGTTTTTAAAATATTTGGACAATAAACCAATGTGTTTAAAGCAAGTTGCTAATTATTTTCCCATTATTCTTATCAACCAAGACGATTGTTTGTTTTTATAATTCTATCAGCGACTATCAGTGATTGTCATTGGGCGATAACCAAAAAATTAATTCAGAACAATCCATTTCTTTGGATCGAGACTTGTTCCATCCGGTTCGGTCAAATATCTAGGAGTCGTCATTGACTCCAGGCTGACCTGAAATTAAAACGAGGTCGTCCAGAGGGCCACTGCTAGCCTTTGGGCCTGTAGAAGATCCACCGGACGCACCTGGGGCTTGCAACATAGTCCACTGGCTTTACACAGCAGTGATAACCTTAGTTTAATGAAACGCGCTTAGCATTTCCACCTATAGGGCAAAGCTGGAAAAGCACCAACGACTTGACTGCATGGCTACAATTGGAGCCTTCAGAAACACCTCAAAACAGGCAATGGAAACAATACCGGGAATAATGCCTCTTCATCTTTTTGTGGAGGCACGGGGTTGGGAGGCTTCAGTCATGCTCAACAATGGGTTCATAGCGGGCTGAAAATGGGTCATGCAACGCCCTGGACTGATAGTATCAGATAGGGCCTCCTTCTCACCAGAAATGATGCAATGGCAAAAACTTCAGCCTCCCCTTCCCAGAGAATACAAGGTCGTCATCCCCGATCCTCGTATGGGACGAATGTTTAGAGCCTAACCCAAGTTTTCTCAAGCCGAAGGGGCTCATCTGGTACACAGACGGATCTCTGATGGGAGAGGGTGCAGGTGCTGATGTATATGGGGAGAGACCTGTGGCGGAAATCAGTCCTGCACTGGGTCGATACCCAACTGAGATCTACGCCATACAGGTGTGTGCTTAGGAGAATCTCCAGAGAGGTTACTCGGGCAAGCATATTTAGGTATGCAGCGACAGTCAGGCAGCATTTCGAGCCCTTTGCTCAGACAAGGTCAACTCAAGGCTCACGCTTGACTGTATGACAACACTAGAACTACTCAGTGGGCTCAACAAGGTCACTCTTGTTTGGGGTATAAAAGGCAAATAGGACCAGCTGGCGCGCGAAGGTAGCACTGCTTTTGTTGGGCCAGATTGCTTCCTGCCTGGTGGAAACCAAGATCAGGAACTGGTCTAACAACCAGTACCAAGACGATTGGCTGAATCAAAGGCTGCACCAAGAGGGCGATAGCACAATAGATCACATGCGCGTCCACGTGCTGCTTGTTAAGGCTTCCCTTTCAAATCAGTCAATCCAGTCCTGAGGTAACAGTGCGGAAATTTCAAGAAGCGATGGGATTTGATAACGAAAATTTCGTCGCCCCGTTGTGCAAAACAGAACAAATGAAAAAATAAAGTGGAAACATTATCATGAACGACTCATGTTCTAAACATCCAAGGGTCTTGTGGATGCATTTTAAGAAATTAAATGACAATGCATTGGGTATAATAATAGGTTCGTTCCAACCCAGCCAAAAACCGTTCAATGTACGGTCACGGTCATGCGCCATAGGTTAAACGCGTTCCAACCGAGAGACGATCGTTTACCGTACAGTTTCATTGGCGTTCCAACCAAACCTGGGATCGTTCGAGAACTGGTTTTAGCACCGTCATTTCGATCCCGAGTGGAAAGCAAGAACCGCATGGACTGATCCATGACTGACATGCGTAATTCAATTTTTGTCACCTGTTGTTGTTGTTCATGTTGTTGTTGAACAACCAATTTCCAATCTAACTTATAAAACTGTAGCATTTTTATTTTTTCAAGTGAAAAAAAGTACAAAATTTATTATCAGCTATTTGCTGGTCCTTGATGTTATCAGCTTGCAAGGACTCAGTTTCAGATTCTTGATAATGAATCAGCATTGGTGTTCGATTTTCCTGTTTTATATATTATTTTGTAATCCTATATTCTTTTATTTTAATTTGCAAACAAACAAATTTAGGGTTAAAGTTATTTGAACTGTCGTCATTATGAAAACGATCATGAAACCGTTCCAACTACCCGTTGTTTCTGTACCAAGATAAAACCGTGCAAGGTCGACGCATGCGTCTGCAATCGATCCTAACAGTTCCGAAACCGTTTCATGACGATACGAAAACGGGGGGTTGGAACGAACCTAATTATTATAGGTGAAGTTGTGAGAACCTAGAGTCCGAATATTACATTCCTATTTCCAAAGCTGTTCGGGAACAATGATCTCCGTAATTTAGAATTATTTTGAGTTTATCAGCACGCTTCGGCAGGTTTTTGCAAGTCGAATTCAACTGAACTGAGAAGTTTATTCCTAGTCCTAGCACCCGCAATAGCGAAGTCTGCTTTCATGGCAGCAGAACTCACTTCACTGGACTGATTTAACTGTGGTAGCTTATAAATAAATACATTCTGCTGTCAAGGTAAAGAAAATTTCCTGTTGTATAAAAATTATTTGCAGTGCTAATAAAAAAAATTAGAAGTACCTGCCTAAAGCGATTTGCACTTTCCGTTTACAGATCTCTGTTGTTATTATTTCAGCGTCACACAAAATGGTTTTTCACAGTAGGAACAATAATAAGTTTGTTCTATAATATATTGCGATACGTACGCAAGAAAAAATGTATAACAAAAATAAACTTTATTTAAAAATTTAACAAAAGTTAAATTTACTACTGACTTAAGTATTTACATACTTATATGAAAATATATTTTATAAAAATAAACTCACCGCAGACCACAGCATTTACAGCTACAATTTATTCTCAAGTACGATAAGTATGGCACTTCTATTAATTATTACATTCATAATGATAATTATTCATGTATCATCGGTAAAGTTCGCTCCGAATCACTTATATTTTATTATCTGAACTGTGTGGAATGTATCTGGGGACTGTATTCGAATTCAAGCGAAGCAACTGTCTTGGGATAACCGAATCCAGCCGAAAAAGCCCCCCCACCTGGTACGAAAACCGTCGAGCTCTTTATTTTGAATTTTTTTTTGGTGCAGCAGCCAAAATTTTTATGACAGTACTTAAAAATTGTCTTAAAAAACTGCTTTCATGTTATTGATATATGTACTTTGATATCGTAAAAACTTTTTTTCGCGGCTTAAAACGTACCTACTTTGTTATCGTAAGATAAATATGGACAATTTTATTAGGGGTAGCAGAGAGTCTTACTTTCACAATAGAGAAGATAAATTGCCAAACATGCAATAACAAATAAAGATTTGCTCACTGTTGATATGGTTTACGAATGTATGTTAAGGTAATTATTCACTCAACGTAGGTGTTTTGGTATTTCTTTTTTGATAAGAACTGTTTGATATTGTCTAAACGGATTAGGTATTCTGGCGTCGAAAATATTTTGATTTGTAATTTTTGTGCATATTCTCAATGATCAACTTATTTATTTATAGGATATAGACTAATTCATACAAAAGCCAATGATGATAAGAGTTCCCGAAGTTGAAGTGTAAGGATAACAATGCTGTAAGGGGCTAAAATCATGTTCCAAAACAAATTTTTCGAAACATCAGTGATAAATGGACCATAGGAATAAACTTATTGTAATCTAGATTCCTTATTCTTCTCGGTAGTACCAACACGAAGGATGAAGTACCTATACCTATGTATACTTTGAATAGAATGCACATTAAAAACGTGAGTTATTTAACACAAATGCACGCCCTATTACTTTAAACAAATTATTTTAAAACTAAAGGAGATAATCAGACCTATGATGTATCCACTTCTGTTATTTTAACAGCTATGTCATAGCTCAACATTTATACTTCTCTCTATTTTGACGTATAGAACAAATAATGACAGGCAACTTAACGTTGCTGTTGAAATAACAGAAAATGATGCATCATAGGCCTGAATAAATATAAATAAGTCACAGTTACCTGGCACCAGTCGGACACTTGCAAAATCGGCTAGAACTAAAAAGCATCAATAGCCAAAAATTAAAAATTCTACAATATGGAACTTTTCCAAGTTTTTCATGAAATAATTCCGATCATAGCATCTCCAATGTATCAAAAAGCTGCATGCATAAAAAATTAAAATTGGGAGCTTTGTACCGTCAACTGTACTATCTCCAACTTCCAACACAATTTGGTTTGTGTGTCAGTCAGTTTTATTTATTGTCAACCATTTATTTGGATAAGTAAAAAAGCAGAAAAACGTTTATAACAACACAAAAGACATTTCGTACCTTATAGAATCCCACAGGATTCTTGGTGCTTCCAGCTTTATGGAAGCGTATAAATCAGAATAAAAGTTTAAAAAGCTTTGGTTAGAACTACATTGCTGTTTTCAAAGAATAATTTATCTTCAGGAAAGATAGGTAGTTTGAAATATTCATACGAATATACACAAGAGATTCTAAAGCCCAAAAAATATCTGGACCTTTCTTAAATGCTTCAATGTATAGATATACATGTAACCTATTCTTTAATTTATCACATGATCGAAATAACTAATTCCGAAAGTAAACAATAATTTATATAAGGTCTTTATAAATTAAATTTTTCTATTACAACAAAATGAAAGTGTGTTGAATTATTTTCGTAATAAATGCAAAACGATAAAATATTGCAGTTCAACTTAGAATTAATTATCACTTACAATAGTAAATAGCTATTGTTTTAAGTTGCTAATAAATACACCATTGCTTTGGAAGATAATAAATATATTCTAGGTCTTTCTTTAGAACTAGATTCGTAGAGGCCTAAACGCAAAACTGCCGAGTTCAACCCCTCAAATATTTTCAGACCATTCTGAAATAACAAAATTCCACTAATTCGTCCGACTCAAATTAATGAAGCCAAGTCTGCGTGTAGCTTTGAGAAAAGTTTTAACAACGTGCAATTTCCTCCACAGAAACTTCGATTATCTCGTTGTTTTTTGGCGTATCCCCCTTTACAGTTAAATCTTATGATTTGAAATGTTCCGAATTGGCAAAAATTTACCCAGGGGGGATGTTTTTTTGCTGAATTAACTTTTAACTTGAAACTTGACTAGAATAATGTTGGAATTTTTAGTAATGACCATTCTTTTTACAGATTACTGATTAAAAGCTTTCAATGTTTTCAATTTTATGGATATTCGTTAGTTACTATATGTACTTTAATGTAAGCACAAAACTTAAAAATGCATTAAAAAAAAATTTCATACAATGTTGATGACATGTTGTACATCAAGTATACAAATTTAAGTTAGATTTTATGAGCTATCAAACTGAAAAACATGCTTAGCTATAGATTTACGAATGATATCGCAGTTTTCTCAAAAATTTTTTGTGTTCGATCCGGCTCGTCTGTTGTTCTTGACTTTTTATTGGGGTGTTAGGGATTTTCTTGTCTGAAAAAAGGAAAGGAAAACCAAATCGATACACAGGTCCAAAAAGGGATATATTTAAATAAATTTTGATTAGAAAGTAGACGCCAAAGAAAAACTCAAACGAGATTACATTTAAAAATAAAAGGATTTCTCTATGTCCCAGCTTGCAATACATGTAAGGACAAATATGTCTCCTCCATATTTTTCCACCATTTCATCTTTGACGATGGTCATCATCATATCTTCTCCAAAACCTTTCGCATTTTTGGACCACCTAGATTTCTTATTTCACTCCAAGGTTTTCATTCTGTTTTCTTACGGATCAATTTTTGAATTTTCCTTCCTGGCAAAATGTCAAACCTATTTCGCAATTGCATAAATGGATAGAAAGAAGAGTAGTCCACGTCATAGGCTATTTTTGAAAATATTTGTAGTCCAAACAAGTCTGAAATAAACAAAAAAAAATCCCGCAATATTCTCATAACACTAATATTTATTTTAAACTCCTGTGCTTAATCCTTTGGGCTCGACCTTCGATAATAATAAATTTGGCTTGGATATTCAAAACATCGCGTATGATTAACCTTAAATACGTAGGTAAAGTGGTCTCGCCTTCAGGTATCCGCGGTGTTTAGTTTTTAGTACCTGACTGGTGCTTGTAATTAGCTTTATGTCAGTAATTTGCTGCTTCAAATACGGCGTTGATTTACATTTGGTTTTTTCGTTTATAATAAAATTAAATTTTATTTGCGAAACCTTGGTATTCCTACAGACTGGAAAAAATCACTATCAAAATACCTAGACAGTAATAAGTGAAGACATGAGAATTTGGATTTCTCTTATTCTAATATGGCCTAAATCGCAAAATAGTTGCCCAATGGCATGTCACAATCAAAATCCATTTTTATCACAATCTAAATCACATAAACTAAAATTTGCATTTTACTTCATGACTTTCAATGTCCGCCGGGTTGCAAATAGTTTAACAGCTATATTGTCTTTCTCACAGCAAATTCTTTTGAGTAACACTAGAATGTTTCCACCGCACTATGAATAAGTACATGTCAACCTACCATGTAAAAGTACCGTTATTACACATTATTCGCAACATTTATCTAAACGTTAGCTCATAAATATACATGGAACGTGCTGAAACTGGACGATTTATAGGTTTATAATTGTGCACAACTTACTTTTGGACGTGTTCCTTTTAAAAATAGTTTGGGAGCATTTAACTTTCGAACGTATATTTTCTATGTCTTCAATATTTGAAGAATTGCAGAATTGAAAAAGGAGTGTGCCTTGGTTGACATCCAAATTTTGAGTTGGAAGAAACCCTGTTCAAAGCATCCATCCATTCTCAAATTATTACGCCCTCTCCCACTCCCATCCTGTTACCAAGGCGCATCATGTAATGTTTACTTAAGATCCTGACATCTCCCTTTTTTTTTTTAATTTTATTTAAATTTATTTTTATTTCTTTTTTTTTTTACTACTACTATAACTGGACTTCTGAACAACATAGTCACTAAGGTAACTGGGTTTTCTTATAAGACGGCCAGATCTGGTAGCACTGACATTAACATTATTGTCATCTACATTCAATTTTCCTGCCCTCAAAGAACGATCATGAGAATGCTCTAGGGTCTCAGGAGATGGAGTACCTACTAGGAACACTAGGAGCTTGGGACGAAATGTCTAAGCTTCGGTCTTACTTAAATTTTGTTTCAGGGGAAGCTTCATAAATATTAAATTTGTTTCTAGTGACAGTGTTTCCACTCGGTTACGTTAAATGATAAGTTCTAGGTTTATTACCATTTCCTACCACCCTAGCAGGCAACATTTTATGAGCTTCAACGTTAACATAAACAATTTCTCCCCTATTCAGGCAAGTTAACTTTTTTATGAGCATCATGATAGAACTTATTTAATTGAACATTCTGTAGTTTGTTTCTAACATCAATCTGATCAAAGACAGCCTGAGAAGGTTCGTGGAAAGTTTCATAGGTAGGCAGGAAGGCATTTAGATTTCTTCCAAACATCATTTGACTCGGTGATTTATTTATACCAGAATTCAAAGGAGTATTACGGTATTCCATAAGTGCGACATAAATGTCAGTATTGCTGTCTGTATATTTTTTTAGGATATTCTTAAAGGTTTGGATATGCATTTCTTCCATTCCATTAGACCTAGCATAGTATGGGCTAGAAGTTTCGTGGCCAAAATGCCATTCTTTTGGAAAATGCTTGAACTTATAATTTGAGAACTGTTGCCCATTATCTGTATATAAAGTTTCTGGAATTCCATACCTTGAAAAATTTGACTTTAAAACAGCAATAATATTTTCTGTGGTTTCTTTGAGTAATTTTCCAATTTCCATAAATTTGCTAAAATAATCAATTAAAATAAGCCCTGTTTTTTTTTTTAAAGAGAATAATATGTCACTACCAATATTGGTGAGCTGGACCATGAATATCATATCAAACTTGGAGAGGGAGCTGTACCAGCAGTTGAACCGCCCAGAAAAATTCCACTATGCATACAAAATCAAGTCAAGCAAAAGTTGGACAAAATGGAACGGCTAAACATTATAAGCAAAG